TTACTGCTTTTCACAAGCGTAGATCTGCCTCAAAATAATTTCTTACTTGTTTTCTACAGGATTTAGGCCCGAACCGCATGCAGGCCGATCTATAACAGTTTTGTTGATGGTGAGCCGCAGCTACCGGGTTGCAAAGCGGTGCTGTAGTGAGTGTGGACGCAAGTCTACCACGAAACGCCACTTAGGAATGACAGTAAATGATCAGCCAAAACCTCCTCGCAGTCGAGGAAGCTCATTCCACAGATTCACGCGCCACGGGGAGCACAGCACAGGTGCACAATGTAACTCAGACCATACGTGTTCCGCTACCAAAGTTCCCTCGAATGAAGATCAGTGGAACTTTCCTGGATGCATCTATCAGCTCTGATTTCTATCCAGTTCGTTTCATTCTTACCGGAAAAATCAATCCAAATCCGAAAGAGTCTTGACGAGACCTCGAAGGAGGTGCTTCCTTAGCCTCTAGAACCGCCTGCTGAATCCCGGTCCGCTATCATTTTCCTCCGGGGCTAATTTGCAGTGAGCTGTTTCGTAGTCGGGGGGTTCATCATGGACCCTCCCACAATACTCGAAGTTGATTTCGCATCTCTTCAGGTGGTGATTCTCAATGCGGAAAGCAAAAGCTCACGGTTGACTGAAGTGGTTGAACGGAAGAGCGTTTGCTGGATATGCTGAATGAATGTTCGTGCTAGTGGTAGTTGTAGTCTTCCGAACTTTCCGTAATTTTCATAAAAAGCTGGATTTCCCATGAAAAAATGCTAATACATCCAATAACCGACTACGTTGAGCACTTATGAAGCATTTGAACTTTGCACAAACTTTTTCCTGGGTAAAATGCTTAGATTGTCCAGATTCACTGAATATGTGGTTTTTACTGAGCATGTGCATTAAATCACAAATGAGTTGACAAGAGGAACGAATTTAAATGTTTGGGTCCTCTTGCCCAGGACACCTTTATACTTTTGAAACAGGGGGAATTTCAAAATTTCCCTCAATAGACGTTTGTAGTTCATATTTCCTTCGAAAATAGAGGGATCTGAAGTTCCGGAGCACGCTGAATCCAATGAAGTCGGTGGCAAGTCATAAATCGTTTATCCTAGCCCGAAACAGCGGTGCTCATGAGTGCCTTTGTAATATTAAAGCCTTGTAGTTTTCTTCGGCCTTTGTGGCAGCGTGGGACACGAGCTATTCTGCAACGCCTCAGACCTGTAAATTTTTAATAGCTATGCAAGACGAGAATGGCACAGAGCCATTTCAGCGATATTCAATGCATAGAAGTCTCTGGTGGTGTAGTGGTGGAATTCCGATCAAACGAATGTGTACTGTTAATGGAGAGGAGTTTTACTCCATACTGTGATCGTGATCGCGCCGAGAAAAACATGCATTTTGCTATCCTTATCGGTATGTTCCCAATCCTACTAATCCTTTTATCGACTGGCCATGAGAATATAGAAAAAAGCGAGGAACGATCCAAGCTGCAAATGTCGTAACGCTTGGAAAACCTCCACTAAACCGAAGCATATTTGCACATACAGTGCACATTGACACATGTCGTTTTATTCTATGGTGTGTCATGTACACTAAAAATAAACACTTGGGAAGAAGTCGCGCAAACGCGAGAAAAAGGGATAACATGTGTGGGAAGCGCCACCGTGTCTCGCTGACGTCAATGCGTTAATGGCCCATAATCTCGCTGCTTTGTTAACGCTTGACCACATTTGCCGGAACAAAGAGTTTGCGAGCGAATTCTAACAAACAAATACATGACTGCTCATGGTGCTCTTGGCGCCGGCACCGGGCGCTTCCGCATACAGATGTGACGCACTCAGAAAAACAGACTATCTGAATTAGGATTCCAAGATAAGGACGAAGGTCGAAGAAACGGAAACGTACATAGCGAAGAGAAGGCTAACCTTCCAAGGGTGCGGACCGAACGATCTAGCTTGACCTTCCGCGCGGCGCAATTGGCGCGCTGTTGCCGCGGTACGCCCTCTCTCGTCGTCATGTTTGAGTCTCTAGCCCTTTAGCAGAGAGAGTGTTAGTGCTGAAGAGTGCTACGCCGATAAGACGTGCATCAATGCGGAAATCAACGCATGGTAGAAGTCCCATTTGGTCCAAAAATGAAGGCTTACGTGCATCACTGACCATCTGTACTAACTTGATTTATATAGGGCTGTATATATATATAGGGCTGCCTTCATCGTAAAATCCGCCTCTGAGCAAAGATTTTGACTTGACTCGAGAAATTAGGCAGCCATTGTCGTTATGCTGAGCCAGTATTTTTAGCCGTGACCTATCAACGACAATGGTGAGCGTTGTATTGCAAATAAGAGCCTGCTAATCCGCGAGATGATAAACAAATGAGCCATTATCTGTTTTCCTTATCAAAGGCAAGGCGTGAAAGCTAGTTTTCTCAAGACCGGGCTTCACTGACAAGCTGGAAAGGGATGAAATTCCGCCCCTCCTCTAGCAGTTTGACCCCTAAGTAAGAATATGTATCACAATTATTTGGCATGAAAAGCCGGACGCGTGTGCTACAGCTGCAATGTTTACTCATGATCAAGTACAATAGCTCCCAGAAATGCTTGGGAATCCTCGCTAATTCTTTATGCAGGCAACCACGGTAACCGCCGATGAAACTACGGGTGCGAGAAATTGTTTGAACCATTTCGTCGGGAAAAAAGCATAAGAGAAGGCTCGAGAAAAATATAGCCTGAAATATCTTGCGTGTGAACAGGGAGTACTGCTGCTGCGCTATTCCGCTTCAAAAACTTTTCTCAATGAATCATCCCGCAGACTTGGAAGCAGATTCGAGTTTTATGTTCCATTAAAAATGACTAATTCACCCCGAGACCTTTTCTATTTGAGTCCCTTGAAAATACATGTATGCATGGCATTTCTTTTGGCACACCTTTTAGCATTGGCATTCTCCTTATTTCACGAGGGTACTTATGTTGAAATAAGAACCTTGGTCTCTGTGACCATAAGGTTTCACGCGTGCATAAAAATTGTCTGAATTTTGTTCCATAAGGATTGAGAGGTTCCAAAATTTAGAGAGGCTGTATTGATTATGGAGGGAAAGAGATATTACGATAGAGCAGAAAGGTTCTTTTCTTCCATACTTCGACAACCAGGAGCCTCATTAATAGCTTGTTTGAACTGCACATAACTTTGAATAGAGGCAACTCAGCTGATGAAAATCCACATTGAGTTATTTGAAGCTCCGATGAATTAAATTACAGAAAGCTTTTTTTTGAATTTGTGAAAGTGTTGGAAGAATCGAGATAGGTGGCCCACCGAATTTGCTCATTTTTCTTCTAGGTCAGCAAAATATGACAATTATTGCTCACGGGCAGCGATCGCGATAATTTTTGGGTACGTTTAGCGTTAGAGGGTATGTTACATGGCGCGGCAGCGTAGAAAAAAGCACAAAGATCCGTCAAGAACAGGCAAAATGGGTCTCCTTCTCTGAATGTTGATATTCGATGAACAAGCCAGCGAAATTTTGAGCTTCCCATTTTCTTAGAAAGGAACTGAGCTTAAAGCGAAGAAAAATCGATGAGTGAGACAGGATCTTCCAAAAATTGTTTTGCTCCAGGAGCTCCTCCAAGATTTTTTACTATAATTTAATATCGTTTCTTGTCCCACATATACTGACAGAGTATGTTGGAATTCACTTGTTATTTTCACCCGGGTAGATGACTTTTCCGGTTTTACAGAGCATTTCATAAGGCGCACTTTTTCAATTTTCGACGCAATCTTCCTGACAAAGTCAGCGCTACTAATGAATGGTTTTCCAAGAATAGTGAGCAATCTCTCTTCTCCAAGTGATATTATTTTTGTAAAAATTTTGTTCAAAGGTAAACCTCGGGAACAGACCGACAAGTGGGAAAAATGTAGTGAGGAAATTGTGGGTACCGTGCCTTCATGGATCGTGCCAGCTTCGCTGCCCAAATAGCGCGATTAGGGCGCTAATCCACTACGAACTTGCAACCATCGACCCTCGCTGCAACGCTTCCCACCCACTGCCTTTGAACTTAGAAATCAGCGTGCTCTCTCGAACGGTGTGCTCACTCGCGTAGTTTGTCTTCTTTGATAGCCCTGCTTCGCCATCGTACCACATCCGGCGTTACTGTAGTTAAAGGGGGCCTAATTTCAGCATCTCCTATGATTCTCTCGATTTTCTTCCCAATTTCAGGTCGTTCCGCAGCTCAGCCATCACGGCGCAGCGCTCTTAAAGCAGTGATCACGATGGCTGGAGGGAATTGTGGTTGATGACGTCGTTGAATGACATCGATGGAGGACTGATATGAGGCTGTCCCAACCACACCTTCTATTCCTCTTTCCCCCATCCCAGCGCTGAGGCATCTAGTCCACCAACAAAAGAAAGCGGTGTTATCAATATTGCACTCTAGCCGTCGGGGTCACTGCCTTCACTGCTTTGTGCGTTCCCTTAATCTCATAGGTCCTACGCGTACGAGATTGCAAACTAACTGGCTCAATGAATTCGAATGAGAACGCAAATGAGAAAAACGAGTGATAAGGACTAAAAAGAGGGTTGAGAAGAGGGTTGTCGAAGAAATATGTGAAATGAGACAGGTATGTGTCAAATGATGCATGATCGAACGATGACTACTAATCTAAAATCCGTATCTTCGGAAGGTACTCCGATCAAGTCACGGAATGATACGGAGATAGTCAGGAGGGATTTTTGCGATAGGGAGGAGGCTCAAGCTCAGGATGAACATGAGGAACGTAATTTACAGGAATGTTGAACAGTGACACGACCTCACGTATGCGAAGTTGAGGGATTAACTTCTCAGTGCCTATTTACAACATTCTACGTCATTCACCCTCTGCGGTAACGAGGCTATACGTCTCACAAAATGTTCTTATAAGTCTTACTAAGTTTATGTGAGCACTAAAAAAGTACCGTCTAAACTGCAAAAAGATAAAGTTGGCTAGAGCCGAAAAAATTTATCAAATATTTCTAACATACTAACTTGATAATCCCAGTTTCGACGACGTGTTTGCGTCCTTCTGTTACGTCTAATGCAAAGCATGATTAGATAGACTAGAAGCAGTAGATAGCCGGTGGCAGTAACAAGAACGAGGCATAATCGCATGTCTGCCAAATATGTCGCTACATCGTGGAGATCATCAGCCATACGCACGAACTTGTAGGACTCGCTGAAAAGTCTAATTGTACTTCCAGAAATTTTGGTCGATCTGAAAAAGGGTAGGTACTACCTAGCCAATATGACCCCAGAAGCCACAACAAAGGAAACCGAATGAGGTCAGAAAAATTTCGTTGGTATAGGAGTGTTTCATTCCACTGTCCACGGGGATGATTTCCATTTTTTAGAGTTGGAGTAATTCGGGGCCAACACTTGGCCCACTTGCGCCAAAGGAGCGTCAAAAGTAGAGTCAACCGTGCGTTGCGCAGTTCTCAACGGCCACGTTGCGCAGTTTCGCCCGATTAGACACATTCTCTCGCGCGAACATTCACACTCGCATGCTCGAGCCGTCTGTGTCTCCAAACGGCGTGCGTTGAGGATCTCTCGAAGTGGCGTTGAGACCTGCGCAACGCACGGTTGACTCTGGTCAAAAGGCACCGACATCAACATATCAAATTTGAGATCGGGGCACTAAATAACCCCCAAAGGTAAGTTTTCAGGGAGAACGGGAAAAACTGGTGTTACACGATTGATGCAAACATTGCACCCAACGGCCCCAGTGCTTCAAGAATTCCATATTCATTATCAGAGCACCGAATAATCCCAGTAGGCAAATTTTGATGACGTTTTCATGACGTTTCGAGGTTGTGATGGCTGAATAGCGCCAAAATTCGTCAGATCTGAGTCCACTCAGACGTTTGTTAGGGCTTGCTAAGTAAACAAATGCATTTATACATACTTTGCGCTATGCTCTTGCTCTAAACTTTGATGCACCGAAGACATGTACACACAGCACTTCGTGCTATAATCCATAATTTGAGCCAAGCAATTTCTTTACACGGCGGAAGTGATGTAGTGGCAAGTGGCACGCTTACCACGCGCGCGGTCCGGGGATCGAATCCTGGATCGTGCTTCGCTCGGGCCAAAAAGCCTTCCATCCCTCCGGCGTCGGTTAATTGGTACCAGAGTTGTTTGGGAGGATCCCAAGACATGATCAAGCGTCCCAAGACAGGATAGATCAACGGCAAAAAGCTTTTTAAGCTTCATTTACTTTACAGTGTGCCTACAGTATGCTTACAGACTTGCACAGCTGAATCAACTATAACTTCATCATCTTGCCTTAGGAACAAATTTGTAGCGAACTTTAATTTATGGAGGCAAAGAGATAATTTGTTTGAACTGCGCATAGCCGTGAAGCAAGGCAACTCAGCTGATGAAATCCGTAATCAAAATTTGATTTTTTTAATAACTAAAGCACTTTTCAGCAGCATGAGCAAATTCATGAACTGCACTTTTTTTAATAGAATCAGCAAATTCATCAGGAACTACAGTATTTTTCAGGAGCATGAGAGCAATGAACATGTAAAGAAACAAACCTAGAAGTTCTATGGGTAAAAAAAAGTTCTTTTGAAAATTTTCCAGAAGTACAAAAATGTAAATAATGAAACAGAACAAGAAGTAAACAAAGTTGTTTACGACACAATTTCGGCTAACCTGAACTCGGATGGCCTGTAATAATCCATATAGCTGGTCTATGTCGAAATAAGGATACGATAATATCTTGTGGTTGGGAAGTACGAGACGACGGACATTGAACAATAAATTATGCAGCATGAATACGTGGAAACTTGCTCATTGCATTTGTGCACGTACATATAAGAAATATTTCCGAATCAATGTGAAAACACCATTTCCGCTTACAGAGCAAAATTTTAGCCCACCCGAATGTCACATGAAAGACTGGCACTGAACCGATGGCGCATGAATTTGTAATTATCTCGGCTATTTTGGGATTCGTGCCGTCACAAGCCTAATTTCATTCCGGATGTTCAGAACACTGTGAGGCTTCGAAAAAGACTTTTTGAGTTCTTTTGGCTTCTTTTGAGCTCGCTGCAATGAAGTTTTCGGAGCCTTGCAGTGTTTCTTCGGCGAAGTTAGCTAGGTTTGATATGTCGCACTGAAACCTTGTCAAGGATAAAAAACCGGCAGAGTGCAAAATTGCATATCGAGGCATTCATTAAAGCAAGCACGGGTTCTGGGGTAGTCCCCATATCCGACGTCGAGAATGAGAGCATTATTCGGCTAATAATGCCGGTGATATGATAGGGATGTTATGAGTGTTATGTCCCGTGCTCGAGCAAAGAAATTATAGCGAGCAAACTATATATCGATTCAGAATGAGAGTAGAGCGAGTGAAGAGGAGAGATGCGGAGGAATGTCGAGAGAGAGAATCGAGTGCGGCACTGCTGCTCATGATACAATGAGGCGAGGAGATATTAAAAGGGATCACGGAAACTTCAGCTCCCTTCAGCCCGTCATTATGCATAGCTCTAAGACAGATCCTTCAGTGTTAACTACGAGCACATGAAGAGAAAATGACTCATTTCCGGTGTAGAGGCTTGAGGTAGCCTAAACTTTTGAAAGCATCAAGACATTCATCATCACCTACGATAATATGTATTGCAAAAGGACAAGAGGATTGTTGTCTGTGAGCTCCTCCTGCCTCATTGCCTTTAGACTAGAATTGCTCCGAAGTCCGCGAGTGTGTTTGGAAATTGTGTTTGTGTTTGAGAATGAGCTCAGGGGATTGACGAAATAATAGGGTTTGTCTGGAGAAGGAGGGAAACAAACCGCTTTAGTCATTTCATTTATAAAGATTTCATCTTTCTGACTTGAAGGCTAGCTCGCATTTATCTTCGACTTAAAAGGCTCTGACGAACGCCGAAACGTTAGCCAACAAAACAATTATAACGCTTTTTTATTATATAACCAGTAACGTGATGTCAAGATTTAGGGATAAAGGTCAAAGGTGGAAACTACTCGACAAGGGTACTTGAGAACTACTCAGAACTGAAAGGAGGAAACGAAAGGAAACAAGGCCATCGGCAACATGTCGTAGAAAAAAAGCGTTTGGAGACTTGGATAGTTATTTCAAAAAATTCGCGGAAGATGGAAAAAAGTGGATGATGTGCAGAGAAACCTTTTTACTCATTTATCAGGTTATTTATTTATTATTTACTTTACTTACTTATTTGCTACGCCCTTCGGTGCGCTAAATTACACAACATCAATAAACATAGTGAACACTTAACACTAACTAAGAACCAGCTAGAGGAGCATTAAATAAGGAGAAGATTGTCCAGGAAAAAGATCAAATAGCAGAGCTGTTCACAAAACTTCAAAGTAAGAGGTTATTGTAGGCTCATTTCAAATTTATGGAAGTTTCCAAAGGAATTCTTTTAGTTTTTTTTGGCTCGTTTTTCAGAGTATTTGAACTCTTGTGAACTTTTGGAATTCTTTTAGAATGAAACTTTTGTAGGTTCTCTGTGTTAAACAAATTGAGGTCCCGATGAGGCTCCGGAACAGCACAATACTAGGAGATCACTTCAAATTGTCCTTCGACAAAAATGTGTTCACTATTTGTTAGCCAGTATTTGAAAGTCAGTTTTATATAGCGATTACAAGCAATGCCGCCATAAGTTGACGAGTTGTCGATCACAGAGACGTGCTTTGGTTGCCCGTACGGGCTTAAGAAACACCTCAGGAGTTAACAAAAACTCACCTTTTCACCGTGCTGCCTTCGGCATCGGCCAAATTCAGCACGTATACGCTCATCGTGGAAGATCTACGAAGATTATACAATTCAACAATCAAATCACTCAATTCACGCGATAACGAGAAGAGTTTCATGGAGAAAAATAGCAGGGGATGTATCAGATTATTCGAGTGGAAGGCAAGTTACTGCCAAATGAGCGAAAACTGGGACTAACGAACTGCTGTACATGAGGCCTACGGAAGCTCGTTTACGGATCGGAACTCGTGTCATTAATAGACAGCGGGTGATGGCTCGTTTTAATACGAATTCAGTTCAGCCTTCTATTAACTTTTTTATGTGTGCGCCATCAGATGCTTCCTGACATGGCCAAAATACTTCAGCACATGAAACGTCTCTCCGGTGGGCTTCATGTACGGAACAGTTCATCTAATGAGTTTTCTTCTGGACTTGAAGATAGGCTTACACATAGCCTTTACTTGCACAATATTTCATCTCCTATCGAAAACTCAAAAATCAGGTTAAAATGAGCTCAGTATTGAATGGACGGAGTTTCGATTTCATAACAATGCGGTAGAGGATAAATTCAATATCGCTAAGTCTTCAGCATCAAAAAGCACTGCATTACGTCATATATTAATCAGAGATGAATAAGTCAATAGCTGTTTGAAAAGCTGTGTCATGGCAAAGAAAAAACACAGCGTTATGAACCCAAAACCACAAATATTCGGAGCAGCCACCACTATTACACAATCAGATGTTTGATCGATATGTGAATGAAGTGTTTTGCAGTAACTAGCAATGAGCTTTTATTTCGAAGACAAGGCTGGATTGAGATGTATGGGTTGGAATGGAGAATGTCAAGGGTCACGTATGAAAGATATAAAACGAATCCTCTCAGTAATCCCTCTAGAAAAGGTATCGCCGCGCCAAAAGGCTGCCCAGACCCCTCCAAGACAAAATTATGAGTTGAAGAGGTACCAGACTTTTATAACCATTATAAACAAATGGGCTGTTACTGACAGTGCACACATAACCTATCGCGCATAAAACTGTACCATTTCGTCTACGGCGAGCAGGTCCGGGTCAATCGCCACCTAACAATTGCGCAATTCATTGAGCTGAATCAGCTGCTGGTCATTTGGAACTGTCATTCATCTGGGGCAAAGACCTATATCAGGGCATCTACAATCGAAAGCAATCCCTTCACGCTTTATATCACGAACCGGAATAATTAGTTTTTCGTCGTTTTTTGGACCTTGGAATTTTGAGCCTGATTATCATGGAAAACCAATATATAAATAAAAAATTGAATAAATGCATCAAAGCATTTTTTTGTCAAGTGTCACTACCCAGGATTTTAATATGTTGCTTCACAACGTTTAATTTACGATTCCTTTCTCGCCATAGTTCTATTTGTTGTTGCTTGTTATATATTTGATATGTCTAAGAATATGCTTAGGTCTAATGCACAAATTCGCAGGAGCCACCTGTACGAGTTCAAGGCGGAAGGCTACAGAATCCGCCATCCGAATCATTAGTGCAATTGGAAGTAATATCATTGAAGATGCTCAGCGATTTTTCGAGAGAGGCCTCTGAGGAGGCAATAACAACTCCAAAAAAATATAAGTGCAATTGTGGTCGAAAAAGAGGCCTAGTTGAGCTAGCCGAGAACGACGTGCAGGAAAGTTGTGCCGAAGAGGTTGAGCACATAGAGTGTGATCAATCGAAGATGCGCAAACGCCTCCACGAAGTTGGCTACACTAGAGGTTTCGATTTCATAGCAGAAGCTGCTATCAAGATCGGGAACAAGTGGCGCAACATAACGCGCACAATCCACGGTCAAACCGTGATAGTATATAACCCAAGCCAACCATGCCTTCAATCCTGATCGGTGCCAAACATGTAAAGGAGTGTGAAGCTCTAACTTGTACATCCGCTGCATGCCTATTTTATTGTATAGGCCTTCAAAGGCATTAACTGTGGGTAGAAGTGGAGAGCCTGGCACACACCGAGGAAGGGATGATCAATCACGATCAAATCTCCAAAAAGCTCAAAGAATGCTATCTGCTTGAACACTTCTCATAGTTGAGGATCTTTGCATTGAAGCCATTTACCATAGTTTCTCGTGTAAGCGCCAGCATCAAAAACTATCGGGAATGCCGATGGGGAGGAGCATATTTAGCTAGGTTGCAAAAAATGACTCCTGTATTTTCAGACAGGAAAGCCAGTCACCATTATAGAAGAGCTGCCAGCAAAAGCTTCAGCTGTCTCGTCGGGGCTGTGATGAGGCTTAGCAATGCGTTGGAGAAATAACCTCCTCACTAATGCCCTCTAAGGAAGGGAACATGATAGCTAGAAAGCGGAGGCGATTTGAGAGACATCATTGGTGGAAGGTCTCTGAGAGGCAGCCCGATCACATCTAACATTTTAACACATTGACGACAATGCGGGGGACAACATATACCACGCGCATTGCAGGCCATGTCGGACCGTGCGGGATATATATCCCCCGCACCTATTACACTCATTTTTTTCGCGCACGCCTGATTCTTTCAGAATTGCTTGTATTCATTCCATGGAAGAGACCTTGACGTAGCCACAAACATAGTGACCCATAAAATGGTCACACATGCTTCAATTTAGAAGAGGATTTCTGAACCATTCGAAATCTTCAGTTTAATAAATTTTTCGTTTACTTTTTCTTTTTATGAATGTGAATATTGAAATGGTAGAAGAAGTACCCTAAAATCCCATAGATAAGAGCGGTCCATAGAAATACTTTTTAAAATTTAATTAATTTAAAAATATTTTTCCAAAATCATTTTTTACCGGTAAATTGAACCGCTCTTATATATGGAATTTTACTGATGGAATGGGCTCTTCAAGGTCTATCCATAGATCAAATTCCGGCATTTCTAGAGAGATTCCGGCAGAAATTCCGTGAAATCGCTATTTTTCTATATGAATTGTTTATTAAGTGGGCGGGGTTTAGAGTTGAGGGACGGAGCTTCTTCTCCGCTTTTTATTTATCCATCCATCCAAGTTAGAGGGGTGACTGCATTCAATTTCAATTTCATTCCAATTCATTTTTCACCGGTAAATTAAACCGCTCTTATCTACGGGATTTTAGGGTAGACACGGAATTTTAGGGATGACAATATGTGTGTTTGGATTGAAATAATCAACCAAAATTGCTTTTGAGGTCCACTGCAGCTAGTTCTGACAAATTTCGCTTTCTCATTGTAATTCAATGTCTTTCGATCGAAATTTTACTACTGTACCCTGGGTAGGTCGTGCTCATTACAATTTACTGATCTGGTCTTGTATTGATCACTATTTATGCATTTATCACTCAAAATCTTTGAACGACCCGCAAAATCGCTCCGGTCCCACGTGGCCGAAAAAGCCGAAACACGCATTGTCGTCAACGTGTTAAGCGGTGTGGTCGGATCGCCTCTTAACCCTTAGACTACGACTTTTTTAAAATCGAGCTACAAATGTGTTCTGCGTTGCAATTATCCCTCTCAGCAACAGGCAACCAGCTGTAGAAATTTGGCTGATGTACGTTGGGTGTGACCTAGGATTTGATCTAGGGACCACGCGCGCGGTAGCGGCCCGTCTTGCTATTACACCATTTCCGCTCGGATGAGCATTTGTGAAACATCAACTGGTAATTCAGTTACCATTCGACAATTGCACATTCTCACAGCTCAATCGTGCAATGAGCCAATGTCCTGTTGAGAACGCACTTGAAAAGAATTGCAAGCCGCATTTTGTAGAAGTGCTGCTCTACTGCCTGTAGGATGCGCCCACCGACTGCTTCTTCCCTGGCGAATTTTCGTTGGATTTTATGCTCAAAATCTGCGTCACCATAAGAGTCTTCCATTATCACATCCTCACCATCCAAACTGACAGAACTCTGGAGGACAGAACGCAGTCGTAGAAGGCTGCGTCGGCCTCTGACTGGGTTGCGGCCGATAAAATGCCTAAATGCCTCTGTCCGTCATCAGTTTGCTTACGTTTCACATATACAACAATTAAGGGAAACACTAGAACCATTAGCGCAAGCATGAAGAGTGTGAGACTTAAAAATTACCTTTTTGGGAGCTGCGCACACCGTCCAGTGACCTGTGGTACCACTTGCTTACTGACCTATTCGAAGTAACTCGTTCTGACTTGTGACAATTTGGTGTCACAGTGAGAATCATAAACTTTCTATTCGTGCACAATTTCCCTATCAAACGGGCTCTACGATCTCTATAAGTGCCAAAACTGTGGTAGTGTCTTTGACTACGAAGTGGGACACATGTGTACCACCAGTAGTCAAAGATTAATTTACGCAGGATGACTCGTTTTAGCTTCTGACGACTAATTGTCATAGTAGGAATTAGATAGCTTCTATATGTTCACAGTTCAGCCATCAAATGAGCCCTCCTGCCTCAATATTCCCTGGAACTGTGATAGTGTCTTTGACTACGAAGTGGGACACATGTGTCCCACCAGTAGTCAAAGGGTTAACACGTTGACGACAGGCTGAAGCGTATGCGCGTCAGACATTTGAGACCGCATCGGACAGACATTATGACGCTCATACGCGTTAGTGTTTTGGTACCAATTTCCTCCGCACAAGTCCGACTCCTTCCCAAACTTTTTGTGCTCATTCTATGGGCCATACATTAGCACACTCAAAAAACACATGACATACAGAATGGCCCAATTCCTTGGTTTGGCATGGGTTTTCCAGACCGTACGAAAATGTCTATTCAGTTCATTCGTTATTTTCTTTTCATTAACGTGAACATATACTAGATTAAAATGAGCAATAAGTGAATACAAACATTTCGCATGACAAGATGTGTTTTTCTGAAACAAGAACGTCCAAAATAATATCGAAACCACCCAAGCGAAAGTATGTAAAATTTTCTTTACATGGCCGTTATACGTCTCTTTGGTCAAACTTCCATTAGTGTTGCTCTCGATAAGTCAGACACATCGAATATTAGTGAAGACACTTTTCGCATCTATTGATTTGAGGCGGCACCAGTCGCGAAATCGCTCTGGTCCCACGC